CCATGGTGTCCCACAAGGTTCTGTGCTGGGGCCTCTACTCTTCCTCCTCTATCTGCTTCCTCTTCAGCACATCCTGAGCTCCTTCAAAGGAATCTCCTACCATCTTTATGCAGATGACATCCAACTGTACATCTCCTTTAAGCCCCATGAGATGTCTAAGCTGCAGCTGTTACACACCTGCTTAGACTCTATCAACACCTGGATGGTGGGAGCTTTCTTCAGCTGAATGAAGATGAGACTGAGATCCTCATCTGTGCCCCAGACAAGCTGGTTCCCAAAGTCAGAGACTCTCTTGGTCAGCTTGCTTCTCACACCAAACCTTCCGTCAGGAATCTTGGTGTGACCTTTGACCCAGCTCTCACCCTGGATTCTCATGTCAGTTCTCTTGTTCGCTCTTCCTTCTTCCATCTCAGGAACGTTGCTAAGCTGAGTCCCATTCTGTCCCGCTCTGAACTTGAGACAGTTCTCCACACCTTCATCTCCTCACGCTTAGACTACTGTAACTCTCTTTTCACGTGTCTGAGCAGAACCTCCCTGAACCGTCTACAGGTGGTTCAGAACGCCTGTGCTCGGCTTCTGACCAAGTCCTCCAAACACACCCACATCACCCCGCTTCTCCTCCAGCTTCACTGGCTGCCAGTCAACTTCAGGGTTCATTTCAAGATCCTGGTTCTGGTCTATAGGGCCTTACATGGACAAGCACCATCTTACATTGGTGATCTTCTTAGTCCCTACACCTCCAGCAGGTCCCTGAGGTCCAGTGATCAAAGCCTACTGGTTGTGCAGCACCAGGCTAAAGGTCAAAGGTGACAGATCATCTGCTGCTGTGGCCCCCAGACTCTGGACCTCTCTCCCCCTGAGCCTGAGATCAGTGGACTCAGTGGTCTCCTTTAAACTCACCTGTTCAGGCTTTAGTGTCACCTTCACCACCCTCTCCTTATTCTGCTCTTTCTACTAATCCCGTCTTTCCCGGGATTCACTGATTTCCTTTTTTCCACTTTTTATTTTCTCTCCCCCTTTCCTTACTTTATTATTTTTATCACTATTTCAAATTTTCCCCTCATTTTAAACATGTTTTTAATCATTTTTGGAAATTCTTTTATACTTAATTTTATTTGGGCTAATTTTGTGTTTCTTTTTAATCACGATTTCACTCTTCCCATGTATTTTGATATTTGTAATCAGTTTTAAATTCATTTTTATTGTAATTCATATATTTTATTGTTCTCTCCTTGTGAAATGCCTTGTGATTGTAAATCTTGAGAGGCGCTATATAAAAGATCATTTCTTATTCGTATTGGAGGATTAGCAGAGCGTGCTCTCTGGAGCTCACTGAACTGATTCCTGAAAGAGGTCCTTCTGGAGCTATACTGTCTTATTAAGTTCCAGTCCAAATTCTCTTTTACAACTACGAGAATCCCCCAGAACCTCCTTTGCTCCCTGTTCATACACATTGCATTGCTAAGGTAACCAGAGTGTATGACAGCTGAAAGGATGCTGCACTCTCAGACAACATTTCCACACAAAACTAACTCCAAACGGTAAATCAGAATCATAGTTTTATGACCTCTCCTCTGTCCTGACCGCATTTACAACCTCTGCAAGGTGTTTGGATCTTTTGCACTTCAGCAGCCGGTGTCTCGATCTCGCTGTCGATAAAGTTTTCTTTTCTTTTTGTTTTTGAGAAGAAAGCAGGGAATCTCCTCATGAGCTGAGGATGCAGTGTGACCGAATCAGGTTCATTTATGAACGACAGTAAACGGACACGAGCACATGGGAACAGACAGGTGGGATGTATCATCAGACGATTGTGGAGGAACACACGTACGAGACGCCACTGCATGTTTCATACATCAGGGTCATCGAACACAGGAATATTTCTACAAATGTTTGATGAATGAGGGCCCTGACCTTTATCCCACTAAAACTTGTGGTCCATCCACCAGAGGCAGGAAGACAACAAAGCATTAATGATGGAGAATGAGCTCCATTAGTCAGGATCTGGACAAGAAGATGGACTGAACGTCATGGCAACGTTAAGCCCTCCCGTTTCACCCCCACTTCTCTTAGCTTAAAGCCCTCTGGCTGCCACTCCTTCTTCTCGTACCATCATCTTTAAATGTCAGGCTGCGTCGCCGGGTGGAGCTGCAGCAGGCAGATGTGTCCTTCTGTCAGAGCTCTAGTAGAACTGTGCTGTTCCAGTAACAACATCAGTTGGGTAGGGAGGAAAAACCCTAATTCAGCTGCCCGCAGTAAACAACAACAAGGAATACTAAGGCCAGATTACACCAACAAGGTTTCACTTCAAACTTAGGTAATTCGATGGTTTCAGTTTAAATTCTGTTGCACCAAACTGAAGGCAGCTTCGTATTCTTTTTTATAATACTTCTGCAGGGCTTTTAAAGGTGTGCAGAATGAAGGCACGGTATTTCCTTTAAACGCTAGACTTTAATTAAAAATAATCAAGTATTTATTTTGATGGGCATGCCACTGGCCTATTGTTTACATCCACCAGCCAGTAGAGGGCACCATCGTGGGTCTGCTCAGCACAGCGTGGCTAGCAATGTGGAAAATGGCAGACTCGGCAAGTCAAGCCGCATCTTCTGAGCCCAGAAGATGTCGTTATCCTCCTCAGAGGAGGGTCGACCACCGTAGATCCAAAACCAGTGAGTTTAGGCGAAGCCTAACAGATGGACACAGATACAAAATGGCACATATTGGCGGCGAACCTGGTATCCCGACAGCTGGAAACCTTGTCCTGTTGTTGCAAACTACACACACTAGAGTCACTTTGGTGTTCGTGTTCCATATTCAGCCTTTAGGTCATTTTAATCTAGTGTATTTTCTGATTAGTGTTAATCTTAGTTTAAATTAAACCTTGCTGGTGAAATCCAGCCTAAGACTAATAAAGGATCACCACCCAATATCAATATTTAGTTGAACCACCTTTTTGCTTTAAACAGCCTTGAGTCTTTTGGGATACTTCTCTATGAACTTTGCAAATCTCGACTGAGCAACGTTTGCCTACTCTTCTTCACAGAACCATTCCAGTTCGGTCAACTTGTATGGTAGGCGTTGGTGGACTCAAACTTCAAGTCCCTCCACTGACTTCCACTGGGACTCAGGTCTGGGCTCTGGCTGGGCCACATGAGGAGGTTCACCTTTTTTTCCTTCAGCCACTGTGGTCAGTTTAGCTCTGTGCTTTGGACCGTTGTCATGGTGATAGGTGATTCTTTTGCCCATCTTCAGCTTTCTGGCAGAGGGTAGCAGGGTTTCTTCAAGTCAGTGTTTTGCCCCATCCATCTTTCCTTCTACCCTACAAGAGCCTCTGTCCCTGAGGCAGAGGAACGCCCCCACAACAGGATGCTGCCACCACCATGCTTCACTGTGGGAGGGTGAGCTGTGCTGGGTTTACACCAGGTGTACCGTTCGGGCCTGTTGTGTCCACCTCTAGGAGGCAGCCTAGGATAGGAAGTAAGTAAATGAATGAGGAAGTGAAGATGGATGCCTGATATATGCTGCAGATGTGGCACAGGGTGAATAAAGCTTCAAACAGGAATTCTTGCCTACTTGTTCCACTTTCTGATGGAAACTGACTATAAGAGGTGTTGAGGCCAAGTAGAACAATTTTAGTCTCCGAGCTTTTTTTCATTTGGCATCAAAATCTTCAAGGAGCATTCTGGCAAACTTCAAACCACTCAGAAAGAAAACAAACTCTGGACTGGATCTGTCCTGAAGGTAAGCTTTAGAACGGATCAACAAAATAAACCCACATCGGAGTCCACTTGCACTGTGGAAAAGACTCGGAGCGGATCAGGGTCGTGGATCCTGATCAGATCGGGAGAGAAGTCCGTCTGGATCAACTCCTTTGGCATGTCCTCCAATCCGGGTCTGTTTACCCAGGGCCCACAGCAGGGAGGGGCCCTGGGACAGCCTAGAATAAAATGTTTTTTTTGTGTGTGTTTTTTCCCCCGACATACTTACTTAGTAAACTTCCCTTTACCTGGATGAAGACGGACATTTGACCGAATTGTGACCTTTACCCTCTTGCAATTTAACCTTCCCCTCACCCCCATCCTAACCTTAACCAGCGTGTGCATGTAAAGCTCTGATTGTTGACGCGCTCCAGACATCTGTGTCCTGAGCACGGCCACAGTAACATTATCAAATCAGGTGTCGCCACCTCAAAACTAATTTAACACGCAATCGTTCATGTCGGCTCATTTCCCTTTATGTTTTCTGTCTTTTATTTGTCCCTGATGCGTTTCGCTGCTGTGGAGCGGGGCGCATCACCTGTTTTGTCCTCCGGTGACGCACCTAACTGATGTGGCCGGCGAGCACTCCGCTGTTTTTGCGGTCGGTAGATCTTTTAGAACTGCAGTTCAAAGGTAACTCATGAGGTGAATATATATGAACCCAGGTAGCAGTTTCTCTTTAGGACTGAGAGGAGATGCAGGAAGATAATAAACAGACAGGACAGAAAAATAGTCAAATAAAAACAAGTTAGTTTTTGTACCTGCTGGTTGCAACAAACAGTCACCATTGAAGGTCATCAGAAGTGAGGAACAGAAAATGAAATAATTATTTTAATGTTTAGAGCAGCAGGAACTCCGAGAGGCTGCAGGCGCATCAGTGAGTTTGCGGCCGCTGCGCGGGGGGAGGGGGGAGGAAGGGGGGGGGGGGGGGGGGGCTGAAGCAAGAAGCAGAAACTACCGTTGTTAAAAGAAATGTGTTTAACTTAGAAAATGTGGGCGCAGTTTTAATTGTCAAAAACTCCAGCGAACCAACCAAACCCCCCCCGTGCGTCGGAGAAATACGCTTTGTCACCCTTCGTCAATTTTAGCCACTTCAGGTGTATGACGTCATCAAGGACTAGTCGAAGTCGACTCGATTTTCATTACTTGACGGTCGACTTTGAAAAAAAATGAAGTCATGCAACACCTAGCCTTAATAAGCCACAATTTTTCTGTTGTACCAAACTACACTCAAAAAAAGGAAATCTCACTGTCATTGGCAATAAAACATATTATCATGTTAGAAGTAATCAAAAACTATATATTTTTTACATTTACTTATGTTATTTGTTTTATTTGAAAGCAAATACTTGCAATGTTGGATGTATTTAACTGTGTAAGTAACACCAACTCAAGTTTGTAATGTAAATATTAAAAAAGGCGCTTTGTAAATCGGTGTAGTTTGTCCCTTGGAAGACTCCGTATATCCTGGCTGATTTTTTTTCATTGCGGCGGAGGGAGCCACGTGTCCTGAGCGGAGGAGAGAGTTACATGCTGTGGATAGAGCCAAATTCACCTTTCAATACGGGTAAGTGAAAGTCTTTCTTACTGATTTACGAAACTATTCTGTGTGAAACTGTTAAATTACTGACAAAAATTGGTTAAATATACCGACGAACTGTTGTTCCATTAAGTACTGTTAGCTTAGATGGTGTGGTTAGCTCCGTTCACTAAGTGAAAGTCTTTCTTACTGATTTATGAAACTATTCCGTGTAAAGCTGTTAAATTACTGACAAGAATTCGGTAAATATATCGGGGAACTATTATTCCACTAGTCCTGTTAGCTTAGTTGGTGTGGTTAGCTCCGTTATCACAGCTACAACCGAACCCCAGCAGTGTGGCGGCCCGCCACGCCTGAAATCCCACTGCCACGCTAACAAGTTCCCAAGTTGTTGGTTTTTTTTTTTTTTTTTGGCGCTGTTTCCCGAGGTTGGGTGTTTTCATCTGAACCCTTAAAACCTCCAGCAGGCTACGTTGCACTATTGACTTGTTAGCGCGCGGCGCTAACTATTTAGCGACGTGACATATCTCGGAGAAAGCGTAAAAACACGTTGGACGCTTCTTCTGAAGCGGGAAAATAACACTTCTTACGACGTCGCCTCGGCTCGTTCACGGCCGAGCCGGACTGAGCTGATAGCATTGACCCAGCACAGCCATTGACATTAATATAGCACTGGGGCGTTGGAGCTGCCCCGTGACTGCCTGATGGAAAACCAGCGGGTTTCATCAGACTCGTGAAGTTTTTTGATTTTGCTGGGGACCCCCTGTATTATACTGCTCCCTCCTGCAGTCTTCCCCTATTAAAATTTAAAATGCTTCTGTAAATTTCGTGTATCAATAGAAAAAATCTCTGCCTCTGCCAGCTGCAGTAAATGTACTTTCCAAATAATAAGAGGTGCATTTATCTGTGTATCTCCTTTGATCTGCATTAGTGATATTCTCAGCACCAGAACAGTGAAGCAAAGAAACAGATTCCAGAGTTTGTTAGTAATTTTATTTATTAGGTGCATCTAACCTGTTCTATTTTTCTCTGAAATTAGATCAAATCAGTGCTTCTATGGGTTGGCTCCACTCTGCACTAGAATTTTTTACTTTATTTAGAGACGTGTCATAATTTATTTTGACAATTTAACATCAATAATTTAAAAGCAATTTAATGTTGTTATTTAAAAATACATGTGCCTTTGTTTACAAGCTTTATTTATAATAAAAAAAGTTAAAACTGCAATTACAAAAACTAAGGGTTACTAGAAGTAAAAAACAAATCCGCTAATAAACTTGAGAGTGAAAATAAACTAAGCAAGTATGTGTGTATTTTCTTTGGCCTGTAATCAATTATATTTTTAAACGATTGCCTACTCAATATTAGCATTTTTGAATAGTTTTTAAACAATTCCCATGTTCCCAATTTTTTTATATTTCAAGCTTTGTCAATGCATAAGTAAAGTTAAACAAATCTACTTTATGAATAAACCAGCTGATAATGTGTATTTAAATAAATAAACTACTTGACTGTTAATATTTTTGACTTTTTTTCTGTTCTTTCACAGATATGAATGTGGTCTTGTAAAGATTGTGGTTCATCTGTAGCATCAAGAGTCCATCTTCTAAAGCACTACAGGTTAGCTCATGACAATTTTGGTCGCAGACACCCATATCCATGCACTTTTTCTCATTGTCCATGTGTGTTCAAAACTTGGAATGCTCTTCACAGTCATTTAAGCAGGTCACACACAAATAATACTGTTGAAAAGCAAGATAATTTAGCTACTTTTAACTGTCATTTGTGTACAAGCACCTACATATCCTCTCAAGAGTATTTTAGCCATATTAATTATCATCTCAAGAACCATGAAACAGTGACTTGTGTTTTTCAGGGCTGTTCTTTCCAAACAAATATTTCTGGTACATTCAAATCCCACAAAAGTAGAAAGCACACTCCATATTCACTTCAAGATTTTAAATTAGGTATTGTAAACCACAGTGAAACAGATGATCCTACAGATGATAAAACATCTAATATTGGTGAGTGTAGTGTTGATTCTGATAGAGATATAGAAACTCAAGCAGAAGAACATTTATCAAAGATTATAGAACTGAAATTAGGATCTCTTCTACTCAAGCTTGAAAACTATTTTCATGTTCCTCGTACAGCAATAGATGAGCTGCTTGCTGAACTGCATTATTTGATAGGTTCTGCATCTGTGCCCATATCTAATGAAGCAATTCAAGAAACATTCAGAAATAACAATGTCTGTGTTGAGCCGATTGTGATTACGGAATTGACCACTGCATTATCTTCGTGTAATCCTCTGTTAAAAGGTATAGCAAAGGATGGGCCACTAGCTACTGGTCATAAACGGAGAAAGTATTACAAAGAAAATTTTGACATTGTTGATCCAGTAGAGTATATACTGCAATCAAAACCAAAACATACCTTCCAGTACATTCCAATTCTGAAAACTTTAGAACAGTTACTCAAACAGAAAGATATACTCAAGAAAATTGTTGATAGTCATTCCAATCAGCGTTCAGTAAATGGGAAGTATAGATGTTATCAAGATGGTTCCCACTTTAAAAATAACAAATTTCTTTCAAGTGAGGAATTAAGACTGTCTTTGTGCCTTTACATAGATGACTTTGAAATTTGTAATCCCTTAGGGACATCACGAAGAAAACACAAACTTTGTGGGGTTTACTGGATTTTAGGGAACTTGCTACCAGTTTGTCAATCATCCCTGGACTCAATTTATCTTGCGTTGCTCTGTAAAAGTGAGGATGTGAAAACATTTGGTTATAAAAAAATTTTTGAGCCCATTCTGAATGATCTTGTTACATTGGAGCAAAAGGGAATTTTCATTGATCATCTGGGAACATTTATCAGAGGTACTGTTCAGTGTGTAGTTGCAGACAACCTTGGAGCCCATGGATTAGCTGGATTCGTGGAGAGTTTCTCTGGAGATTTTTTCTGTCGCTTTTGTACTGCAACACGCAGTGAAATTCAGTCACAAGAGGTGAAAGTGGGTGGCTTCAAACTCAGAACTAAAGAGCTACATCAAGCACATGTAGCAAGTGCTTGTGAAGAAGGAAAACCTTATTGTGGAGTCAAAACTAAATGTGTTCTAGCTGAGAGCCTTTCATTCTTTGAGGTTACAACAGGTTTCCCCCCAGATCTGGCTCATGACCTTTTTGAAGGTATAGTACCCGTTGAACTTGCTGAATGCTTTGGATTGCTTTTAGCCAAGAAGTACTTCACTCTTGATGGTTTGAATGAACTGATTCAAGCTTTCCCATACAAATGGGGAGATAAAACAAATCGGCCTCATTTATTGCCACGTGCTTTCCTCAGCAAAAGAAGTATTGGTGGCAACTCACATGAGAATTGGTGTTTGCTAAGACTAATACCACTGATTGTTGGAAAACTAATTCCAGAAGATGAACCAGCTTGGCAGTTAATATTAGATTTAAAAGATATTGTGGATCTCGTAGTTTGCCCACTACATACCGATGAGTCGATTGCATTCTTGGAGACAAAGATATCAGAGCACAGATCCAGGTACTGCACACTTTTCCCTAAAAAAAAACTGCTACCCAAGCACCACTACCTGGAACATTATCCTGCACTGATCCTTCGCTTTGGTCCACTTGTTTCTTTTTGGACTCTGAGGTTTGAATCCAAGCACAGTTATTTTAAACAAGTTGTGAGGCACACTAACTGTTTTAAAAACATTACATTGTCTTTAGCCACTAAACATCAGCTGATGATTGGCCATAGTATAATTTCATCAAGATTTAAAAAAGACACTCTTGAGGTGACACAAGTCTCAACAGTCCCTCTTGATGTCCTTAAAGAAGAGGTTGCAGTTAGCCTCCATCAGATGTACCCTGACCTTACTTTTGTTAATCTAACAGATAATGTATCTGCTGATGGCATCAGCTTCAGAAGTGGCATGATAATAGTGCATGGATTTGTTGGTGGACTGCCAGACTTTGCCGAAATTGTGCATATGTGTGTTTTGAAAGATGGACTTGTCTTCATAGTGAAGAAAATAAACTCATGGTACAGAGAACACTATAGATCATTTGAGCTGGATCCTTCTTCAAGCAGTGTCTCTGTGATTGAGTTGAGTAAACTTGTGGATCGTTACCCCCTCTGGGATTACAAAGTGGGCAGTTTACGAATGGTTACTCTGAAGAGATACATACATTGTTCAGGTAATATGAGAACAGAAATGTGTACTGTAAATTTGTTTGCTTAACTCCAATATGACTTGATGCATGTTAAAATGTTCTGTCTGTACTATTCTGTGTTTTTCAGAGTAAAACTTGGGTATGACTATGGACTCAATGTCTACACCAGTAAAGCTTCGTATTCTCCTTGGAGAAGATGACTGTGTCAAGCTAACATTGCCTTCTGGAATACCAGACTCTGTTGATGGCCTTAAATTTGAAATTCAACAACAATGTAGAATTCAAGGAGAATTCAGACTGCAGTACATGGACAATGATTTTGGTGAATTTATGAACCTGACTTCAGCTGCAGATATCAAAGACAAGGGAACAGTGAAAGTGATTTTAACAAGTAGGCAGTCAACACAAGGACCCAACTATACTTCATCTGCATCTTTTGATGAGGAGGATGATTCCACTCCAGACACTGATATACTTTCATCCTCTGAGTCGACCACTTCAACTTCAACCACTTCTTCAACTTCATCACTAAGATGTCAAGGCTGGCCATGCAGATTTCCAATTCCTCCATTCTCCTATGAAGTGGAAATGCAGCTGTCTAGAGCAAACCAGGAATTTCTTGCTGAAGGCAAGCACCTGAACCCAAGTTTCAAAGTCAGGTCAGACATTTTGCAGGTCCTGGCTTCTGAAATAATGAAGTACACAAGTGGATACCCAACTTCTGCACAATTAGATGATGTTGCCAAAGCTTTGATCATAAAACATCCTTGTTTGAAGGAACAGGGCTCTGTTCAGGGATATTATGGTTGGAAAATCAGTCTGAAATACAAAATGGGTAACTACCGCACTAAGCTCAGGAGTCTGGGTTGCCAAGAAATGAGCATTAACTCAATGAAAAGCAGAAAGCCTTCTCACTCCTCAAGCCCTAACCAAGTAAAGAAACCCAGGAGAGCAGAAGTAAATTTTTGTCCTGATTACCCAGTTGGAGAAGACAAAGAAAGTCTTGAGAAAACGCGTGAAGAACTGCTTTTGGAGGTCAAAAAGAGGAACAACCATCAAATGGTTAAGCAGAAAATGGAGAAAACCTTTGCACTTCGGCGGTATGAGGTTGTTCAAGATATGCCACTCATCGCAGAATTAAAAAGTCGATGGCCAGCTCTTTTTACGAAAAACGAGGCAAGACTTATATTTGGTGCAAATGAATAAAGTGTAATTGATTCTTGTGTGTAAATCTTATACTTTTTTTTGTCTTTGTTCAAAAACATTCCCAGGTTTGCGCAGAGTTCACGCGCATTACCACCATTCCGCTCATCCCAAAGTTTATGTCGCAGCTGGACCAGTACTCAGACCAGTTGGCAAGAGTGCTTTGCAAGAAAGGTGGAGAAGTTGGACGAAAAATTAAAAACATCATGGCTGCGATTCACCAGGTGTGTGTGCAATTACTTAATAACCGATATTTGAATCAGTAGCTTCTTTTGCGTTTCACACTCATATGCTCTGTCTTGGCAAGTGTAGTTCATTGTAATCTTGTTGATTTTTGGAAACATTTGAGAAGCCTGTGTCAGAAATCACTTTCTTAAATTGTCCCATTTTCTAAATGCCACTCTTGTTTATGCAGGAAGGATGGAAGAGTTGTTTTTAGATCAATAGTAGAATTTTGAAAAAATGGATCACTGAGATCTTGATTTACTTTAAAGCTACAGTATTCAAGAGTTAGACTTTGTCGCCAAATCTGAGTGCCGCAGTTCATGAAGAAGAAAAAACATCTGTTCTCAGCCACTCACCCCCTCAGATTTTTCTGTTGGGTAGCCAGTTGTGATGTTGATTTTCGTTTAGTTTGTCTTGTATTTGATCCATTTTTGGGAATGTCTGAAGGTGGATTTGTTAAGCATTGATTTTTTCCTAAGTGCATTTGAACGCCCCATCATGTGTAGCTCAGCTGATCATTTGGAAGAATGTGGTGGTTTCTTACTTTTTAGTGCTGCTTGTTGTGGAATTACAGCTGCTTGTGTTGAAAACTAGGCAGCCTTTCACAATCACGCGATTCGTTATGGAACCAGGAAGTCTAGACATGTAAATAATGATTCTGGTCCGGGACAGCCTTTTTAAAATGACAGAAACTAGCGACCACCCAGTGGACTGAGATCCAGGTCTGTTACAATGTGAATTTATTTTCAACATTGAACATTAGACTGTTGTGTGAGTATTTACTTGTCATGATTACTGTGTGGACTCTAAATCAAGCAACAGACTCCAGACCAGAGACAACGGGATGAGAGTTCAAACAAAAAGGGATACTTTATTAAACTCCAGTGCAGGGGACAAATAACAGTCAAAACATACTGCTCCTGCAGATCCAGCATGAGGGGTTCAGTCTGGGCAGGTGGATGAGAGGTAAAACATAAGTAACGGTGCGTTCACATCTAGAATTTTTTGTGTCTGGCGTCCATGTTAAGTCTATGTGGAGGCACACTGAGGCGCGCAGCGGTGTTACCGCAGTGGGATGAGCAGCTCAGCGGCACAGAAACGCACATCTGCACCCGACGCGCTCCGAAGCAGCGCCGCACACGAGGTCCAGGCGCGCACGGCGCCGTTCGAACGCACCCACCCGCTGTTTCTTGCTGCTCACCTCCTCCGCCAAAGTTCAGTCAGGTTAAACTTTCCGTCTCAATACGCACCGCGGCAACCAATCAGGAGCTAGGTTATGTAGTCATGTGATTCTCTGCTTGGGTCAGAGAAGAGCGTGCTAGTTAATTCATTCACGCACCACCCGGAGCTGTACGACACCAGCTCCTTCTTCTACCGAGATGGGAACAAAAAGGACCAAGCTGGAAACAGGTCAGCGAGGAGGTTGGGCAACCTGGTGAGTTCATTTAAATGTGGAAAATTGTGATTAAATCGACAATCCCGCGCCAACACAAACGAGCCTGCCTAGCTTCCAACCCGCTGATGTTTTGTTTTGATGTTTCCTCTAATTCAGACGTGCCGAATGACGTATTTCCGCGGATGCGGCACGCGATACGGCGCGTGGCGGAGGTGCGGAAGGAGAGCGGCGTTTCAAGCGTACAACATGCATGCACCGCTCCGCTTCACAACCCTCAATGTGAACGCAGCATAAAAGGACACGAATGCTTACGAGTGTGCTGGGCTGCAGGAGTCCTGGAGGAGGGGCAAGCAGACGCCCATCAGCTGAGGCTGGAGGGAGTGAGTGGCAGTAGAGATTGGGCAGCCAGGCTGCGACGCTGCATGTCTGAATTAGCGGAAACATCAAAACAAAACATCAGCGGGTTGGAAACTAGGCGGACTCGTTTGCGTTGGCGCGGGATCGTCGATTTACAATTTTCCACATTATTATGAACTCACCAGGTTGCCCAACCTCCTCGCTGACCTGCTTCCAGCTTGGTCCTTTTTGTTCCCATCTCGGTAGAAGAAGGAGCTGGTGTCGTACAGCTCCGGGTGGTGCGTGAATGAATTAACTAGCACTCTCTTCTCTGACCCAAGCAGAGAATCACATGACTACATAACCTAGCTCCTGATTGGTTGCCGCGGTGCGTATTGAGACGGAAAGTTGAACCTGACTGAACTTTGGAGGAGGAGGTGAGCAGCAAGAAACAGCGGGTGGGTGCGGATGAACGGCGCCGTGCACGCCTGGACCTCGTGTGCGGCGCTGCTTCGGAGCGAGTCGGATGCAGATGTGCGTTTCTGTGCCGCTGAGCTGCTCATCCCACTGTGGTAACACCGCTGCGTGCCTCCACATAGACTTAACATGGACGCCAGACGCAAAAAATTCTAGATGTGAATGCACCGTGAGGAAGGCAGGCGGATCCTGGGAGCTGGAGGAGCGCAGCAGAGAGGAGACGATGTGAGAACCGTCACCTGGAGGATCCTGGACGGGAGGTGGTGTGCAAACCACGGAAGATGTCCAAGACGAGGAGGGAGAGGACAGCGTGGGAGCTGTCGGGAGCAGAGGCTGAACCAGCGACGGAAAACCGGAGTGTTAAATAATTCGAGTTAAATAATTTTCTGAGTCGCTCCAAAAATAAACTGAAGCCATTTGTCTTGCAAATCTTGATTTTTCAGCAATATATTCATTCTGTAAGTCTAGGTGCCGAAACGGATGAATACTAATGAGCAATATCAATTTGATGTCCCACTAAAACTGAAAGAGAAGTTCTTGTACTATTTTCACAGCCAGTATGAAACAAAGTTGCTGAAGAATTAAATAGGCAAAATGCTGGTTTCTATTTTGATTTTATTCTTCCATCTCATAAAGACAATTTATCCATGGTCACGGAACAAAACCAGTTTTTTTTCTTCCAAAAATTGAATCAAATTGTAATGAAATGGCGGATTTTGATCAGAAAACTGCATATCTGCTTTGTTCCAAAAATGCCTGTTATACAGTGTTTTGTGTTTTGCAGAAGGATTCTGTTGACACAAGAAGAGCTTGCAACCTCCAGGCAGTAGCCCTGTACCTAAACGAGGTCCCTGAAGAGCTAGTGAAGGAATATGACGTAAGTGTTAGTAGTTCTAAAGGTCCTGTATCCTGCTATTTTACAACTTTCTATCTGATATAGGCATATATATGATAAAATGTTCCTGTTTATGTTATATAATAATTTATCCTGAAATATAGCTTATATCTTGGAGTTATTCTTCGATCAGGAAGTAACGCTTGGTTTACTTCCTGGGGGTTAAATAAAGAAATGGCATCACAACATGATTAAAAGCTCCAAAAAAGTTGGTTTTGAACTATACAGACCTTTTAAAGTGAGATTCTCATTTACCATTCTACTGTTAAATGTGCTCTCATCATGACTTACCCATGCAGGTTTATGTTTGTGTGTTTGTATATAAAGTTTAATTTCTTGAATTCAGTTACATTAATTTAAATTTTCTAGGAGTTTATCACAGTGATTATTAAAAATGTTGGAATTTCATGTGAGGTTTTTATTAAATTATTTTTTTCCTGTATTTAGAGTGAAGATTTTGAAGAGACCCAGAGAAAGTTGGATCAGACTCTCATCGGTATCTATGTGATTAAACATCCAGGTTCATTTACTGATCAGGCTCCAGAAGACGTTGGCATCATAGTTGAAGGTGTACAGGTACTTACTGGACTCAATGATGTTGCCACTGCTTTTGCCTTATTGTTTGGCATCATCTACGACCTGAACCTGAGCTACCCCACTGATCTCAGATACACTTTTGAATTCATTCAAAAGATTCTGATGGAACTTGACACACACAGGCTTTCGAACAAAATCCAAGTGCTCAAAAACAAAATGCTGGAATGAATGCATTAAGCCATTACAGTATTGTGCTATTCAAGTCCTGAAATGTTGTAGTTAATGTGTTTTATTGGCCTGATTTAAGTGCCTGTTAAAAGTTTTAAACTTTGTTCTTACACCTAAAATGTATATGTTTAAAGTGGTGTCTAACTACTGAGATAGGACCAGAATGCTGCTTTTGGTTGTTTCCCAGAGTACTCTTAAGATTTTTTTTTTTATTTGCCTTGTTGTGGCTGGACCCAGTGGCTCTAAAAATGTTTTTATTTTTTTTTTCAATTTCTTTCCAATGTTGAAAAGAATTCCATTTGCACTTAATTTAAAATGTTAAGCTTTCAATTTAAATGTCAGTGGTACTACTTGATGCACAAACCTGTTAAAAAGGTAATGTACCGGTACATACATAAAAATTTGTATTTTTGGATAAGAAGCTGTTTCAGCTGTTTCTAGTTAATAAAACTGCTGTTTGGAGTATTCCAATTGTATTCATGTCTTTCATTAACATTAATTAACATGATCAAGTTGGTGTAACTCAGATACAAGTCTTTTAATTAAAGTATATCTATTTAATTCGTTGAACTTAACTATGTCACATTAGTTTTATGTAAGTTTCAATCATAACGCTAAAGTAACCTAATTAACTCTAAGTTACTTAAGTCACCACCATACAATTTACATAATAATTTTAAGTAACTTGAATGTAAGGATGTTTATTAACATCTACTTAACAAAGTTGTGTGGAACCACTTGACAAAACATTTTTAAGTAAATCCAACACTTTTTTTATGTTGTTAGAAACACACAAAATATTGCTGTTTATTTATAAATCTGTAATATTTAGTACATTTTTTGACATACGCAGGACGCCAGGTTTTCCGCACGCAATGCACTCTGGGGGCGACATCACAACATATATTGGTTGTACTTGGAAGAATAGCTGTTGACACTAGTGTTTGTTTACACGCTCACTCTCCCTCTCAGTTACCACGGAGACACCTTTGCCACAAACACACCTCTGGTTTTGTCCTGCTCTCGCTTCATCCCGCCCTTCTTGCTTTTCATGTTGATGCTCGTTTTGTGAAACATGGTCAGTGATGTCATCATTAACGTTTCGCTCTGGTTCAAATCAAAAAGGCTGAACAGATGACATGTTGATGTCGCTGAACAGTCACTACAGGGTCCCAAAGCCGGCCGGTGAAACCGAGGTACAGCCATATGACGTCACTACCCAGAGTGCATTGCGACGCTGCATCTACTGTACTGTAATGCCCTGCTTTCTGGTCTTTCCAAAAAGAGCATCTCAGGTTTACAACTTCTACAAAATTTGGCGGCACATGTCCTGATTAAGACCAGGAGGCGGGAGCACATGACACTGGTTTTAGAATCATTGCATTGGCTCCTCGTATGTTTCAGGATCCATTTTAAGGTTCTTCTAATGGTTTTTAAGTGTCTTAATGATCTTGGGCCTTCTTACCTCTCAGAACTGTTTTTACCATATGAACCCTCGCGGCCTCTGCGCTCCTCTGGCAGGCGTCTCCTGGTCATCCCTAAAGTCAGGACACACACTCACGTCGAGGCGTCCTTCCAGTGTTACGGCCCTCGCCTCTGGAACGAGCTGCCGGAGGACCTCAGGGCCGCAGAGAACGTTCATGTTTTTAAGTCCAGGCTCAAGACCCATCTTTTTAGGTTAGCTTTTATCTAAATATTTACTACAGTTTTATTTTTCTTATTACATGATTATAATTTATTACTGGCTTTGCATGTTTTATCAATAAATCAAATCAATCAAATCAGGTTTATTGTCATTATGTTCATAACAGAGTACAAACACAACAAAAAAGCGTTTCTCCATTGAGATCCGTCTGACTCACACACTCCATACATGCACAACTCTGCCAACTTTAGAAAACAATTTCTCAAATGCTATTAAAAACCATAATAAATAAGATAAAAAGCTCCTGGTAAATGAAACTCATGCACTTGCACCCACCCACACACACACGCACGCACACACACAGACAATCACACCCACCCACCCACACACGCCCCTCCATGCATGTACACGTGCAATTCACACTGGACTTTGCGGGATTTTTTAAAGTGCTAGTATCTCCTGCTCACAGTCCAGTTGTATTTAGCAGCCATACAGCCTGAGGCAGGAAGCTGTTCAGTAGCCTCGTAGTGGAGCATCTTATGCTGCGATCTCGCTTCCGGCAGGATAAAAGCTGAAAGAAGCAGTTCCGGGGATGTGTGAGGTCCTTCACAATGTTCAGGGCCCCGCCTCTGCAGCGGCTCAGGAACAGATCCTGGACTGAGGGAAGGGAGATTCCCATAACCCTTTCTGCTGATCTCACCACTCTCTGGAGGGCCCTTATGTCCGTCATGTTGCAGCTGGAGCACCAAGTTGAGATTGCATAGGTCAGCACACTCTCCACTGGAGAATGAGGTCAGGATAGTGGTGTGAAGTGAGGCCTGTTTAAGCTTCCTTAGGAAGTACAGTCTCTGATGAGCTCGCTTTACTAGACCTGAGGTGTTCTTTGCCCAGCTGAGGTTGTCAGAGATCTGTATGCCCAGGAACTTGATGTTCTCCACTCTTTCTACTTCACATTCAGTTATGTAGAGGGGAGTGTGCTTTGTTAGGGATTTCCGAAAGTCAACAATCATTTCCCTGGTCTTGCCCACGTTGAGCGCCAGATTATTTGCTCTGCACCAGCTCTCAAACAGCTTGACCTCCTCTCTTTAACCGGATTCATCATTTCTGTGAATCAGACCCACAACTGTGGTGTCATCAGCACATTTGACGTTCAGATTGTTCTTATGTCTTGGCACACAGTCGTGGGTCAACAGAGTATAAAGCAGTGGGCTGAGCACACTTCCTTGGGGGGCACCTGTGCTCAGCGTGATGGATTTGGAGGTCTTATATCCAACACGAACTGTTTGTTGTCTCTCAGTCAGAAAATCCAGTATCCAGTGACAGAGGGTGTGGTCAAGTTCCAGAAGGAGAAGTTTTTCCATCAATTTCTGTGGTTTGATGGTGTTAAAAGCAGAACTAAAATCGACATACAAAATCCTAGCATAGAAGTTCCTCTGCTCCAGGTGGGTGAGTACTGTGTGCAAGGCGAGGGATGTAGCATCCTCGGTGGAACGGTTAGAGCGGTAGGCAAGCTGATGTGGACCCAGTAGAGCAGGAAAGCTGGATGTGATGAGTGGTTTGACTAACTGTTCAAAATACTTCATGACTATAGAGGTCTGTGCTAAAACTGTGTGTTAGGACATCCGCCAGCTCATCTGCACATTCGTTAAGCATCCACCCAGGGATGCTGTCTGGGCTGTCCGCTTTCCTCGGGTTAACTCCTGCCAAGACATTCCTGGCGTTTGTTCGGCTGATGACCTCTGGGGGGGGGGGGGGGGGGGGGGGTTCTACTCTCCTCTCCTGGTGCCTCCCCCCTTTCTTCAAATCGGGCAAAGAAGTCATTGAGTTTGTCTGGGAGAGAAGCATCGCTGTCCTCAATTCCCTGCCACATTCCACGTTCCACATTTGCCTGGTGTTCCCTGTGTTGCAGACATTCTCCTGGATTTTCTCAGCATGAAATATGATTATATTTTAGCACAGTTTCATTATTTAATAATATTATTATTTTACTGTCTATATGATTTTATTTATTATTTATTTACTTACTTTTGTCATTTATATTAGCTCTTTTATTTTCATATTTTACTCATTTTAATCCAGTGTTTTCTCTGTAGGGGCCCTCTGCCCCGGGGGCGATGGTCGACTGTTGCTTCTTGGGCGCTCTACAGGTAGTGTTGAAAGTGAGGGTCAATGCATGGGTGGAGACGTATTTCATCCACACTTCCTGTTAGGAAAACGCTTCTGGAAGAGGCGTCTCCTGGCGGACCGAGAGAGCGGCACTGAGGCAGTAGTAGACCGCACCCCCCTCAACCCCCTTGCGTGTGCTGAAAACGAGTTAACGATCGCGTGTGCACTCGCGTGTGCACACAAGCATGCACTCACACAAGGCTTACCCCTCAGGAGAAGAGCAAACAGATTCTGAGTCTGATTTCCTGTTTGTGAGACGAACCCCTCCTCCATAACCAGGTTACTGGTACGGAAGCCTGGAAAGGCCAAAATTCCTCAAACTTTTCCCTACTGGCTGATATGAATGAATATAATAGAATAGAGTAAATGTTTGTAGTCCCACAGCGGGGACATCCACTCATTACAGCAGCACACACACTTAGCAGAGACACAGGTTACAGTAAAACTGATTCCAGCCATGTTTGCTTTGATAACTTCAATAACTTCATGCTGATGAACACATGAACATAATCCTGTTTAGTGGATGCAACTACATCATGAAGTTAGCTTAACGTGACAAATTATTTGACTTGGCAGGAAATAACAACTGTTAATATTATGAATGACATCATATTGTCCCCCCCCCCCCCCCCCCCATGGAATTTTAAACATTTAACTCCTTACTGCTGATAGATAGATAGATAGATAGATAGATAGATAGATAGATAGATAGATAGATAGATAGATAGATGATAGATAGATAGATAGATAGATAGATAGATAGATAGATAGATAGATAGATAGATAGATAGATAGATAGATAGATGATAGATAGATAGATAGATAGATAGATAGATAGATAGATAGATAGATAGATAGATAGATAGATGATAGATAGATAGATAGATAGATAGATAGATAGATAGATAGATAGATAGATAGATAGATAGATAGATAGATAGATAGATAGATATAGATAGATAGATAGATAGATAGATAGATAGATAGATAGATAGATAGATAGATAGATAGATAGATAGATAGATAGATAGATAGATGATAGATAGATAGATAGATAGATAGATAGATAGATGATAGATAGATAGATAGATAGATAGATAGATAGATAGATAGATAGATAGATAGATAGATAGATAGATAGATGATAGATAGATGATAGATAGATAGATGATAGATAGATAGATAGATGATAGATAGATAGATGATAGATAGATGATAGATAGATAGATAGATAGATAGATAGATAGATAGATAGATAGATAGATAGATAGATAGATAGATAGATAGATGATAGATAGATAGATGATAGATAGATAGATAGATAGATAGATAGATAGATAGATAGATAGATGATAGATAGATAGATAGATGATAGATAGATAGATAGATAGATAGATAGATAGATGATAGATAGATAGATAGATAGATAGAAGGGGTGTGTGGAGTAGCCGGTAGATATTTGTATTTGTTGAGGGGAGAAAGTATTTGTATTTGAGTAAATTGTGAAATTGATGTAAAAATCCAGTTTTTTTGCATTACACTTCTAATTTACATTCTAATGCAAGTATTCTTTAATAGTAATTATGGATATTCAATAATGGTTCATGCTTTTCCATAAATCCAGCAATGAGCATGTAACAAAGAAAGTCATTGAAAAGAAAATAATAACAGCCATTACCTCAACCACGGTTAAACCAACAACAAATAAAATATCATTGTGAACATTATCAACCCCACCACCACAATTATTATTTCAAGAACTTTTCTTCTGAAAGACCTTCTTTCTAATGCACAAAATTCCAATAACTGAACTTTATTAACCCCTGAGTAGGGTATCAGGTCAAGACAAATCGTTTCTCCCACTGGTGGTGTTCACCATGAATGTGAATTAAATATTTTTGGGGAATGTATGTGAGTGTGTAGCAGATGACTCTGCAGCAAAGTAATCAA